TATCAATATAGAAAGCTAGACTGGTCGCAAAAGGTTATAGAAAAATCCATGGGATTGACTTTGATGAAATCTTTTCACCGGTTGCAATGCTAAAGTCTGTCCGGATTATCGATCCTAGCGATTGCTTCATATTGCAATTATGAAATATGGCTGATGGATGTCAAAACCGCCTTCCTAAATGGGATTTTGGAAGAAACTGTGTATATGGCACAACCAGAAGGTTTTTTTTTATCCAAGCCACGCTGGAAAAGTACGCAAGCTTAAAAAGTCCACTTATGGGCTGAAGCAGGCGAGCAGAAGTTGGAATCTGCAATTTGATGAAGCCATCATCAAGTTTGGTTTTATCAAGAATCCAAATGAATCTTTTGTCTACAAGAAGGTTAGTGGGAGTGACATCGCATTCCTAGTCCTATATGTCGATGACATACTGCTCATTGGAAACAGCACAAAATTACTAGAGTCCGTAAAGGGCTGGTTGGGAAAATGCTTTTCAATTAAGGACTTAGGAGAGGCACAGTACATATTGGGCATCAAGATTTATAGGGATAGACCTAAGAGGATGATTGGATTGAGCCAGAGTACTTCAATTGATAAAGTACTAGCACGATTCAACATGGAGAATGCCTAAAGAGGGCATCAACCCATGTCCCATGGCGTAACTCTCAGCAAGAAATAGTGTCCACAAACACCTGTTGAGCGACAGAGAATGGATAAGATTCCATATGTTTCGCTAATAGGGTCGGTCATGTATGCCATGATATGTACCAGGTAAGATGTATCGTATGTTTTAAGTGCTATGAGCCAATGCCGATCAAACCCAGGAGAGGCGTATTGGACTGTGGCCAAGAATATCCTAAAGTACCTGAAAAGGAACAAGGATAAATTCCTGGTTTATGATGGCCACAAAGACCTGGTTGTTGAAGGTTACACTGACGCCAGCTTCTAGACTGACATAGACGACTTCAAGTCACAGTCAGGGTACATATTTTGCCTAAATGGAGGAGCGTTTAGCTGGAAGAGTGCCAAGCAGAGCACCACTGCAGACTCTACAACTGAAGCCAAATACTTGGCTGCTTTAGAAGCCGCTAAGGAGGCTGTTTGGATTCACAAGTTCGTTAGTGAACTTGGTGTTGTACCCTCCATCAAGGGTCCGATAGATCTCTACTGTGACAACAATGGAGCTATCGCTCAGGCTAGAGAGCTAAGAGAGCACCAGAAGGTGAAACATGTCCAGAGGCGATTTCACATGATCAGGGAATGGAAATATAAAGGTGAAATCAGAATTTGTAAGATCGGAACGGATGATAATGTGGCCGATCTATTGACTAACCCTCAGCCTCAAATGAAACACAACAAGCATGTTGAGGCAGTGGGAATCAATCACGTTGGCGATTGTCTTTGAATTCCTTGTACATGTGTTTTAATTAAACTGGTCGTTTTAACGTAAGACACTGTATTAAAACCATTCATTTATGGAGTAATTAATTTTTCATTCAAAATTACTATTCACTCCATTGCTATTTAATTATGGTTTAGAATTAAATAATGAGTCCATTCGATTTATGGAAGTATTCAAAACAGGGTATCAAGACCATGTCTTGGATAAAGAAACACCTGTTCAGTGAACGTTGAATATTTAAATCGAAAATTATCCTTAATCAAGGTCATCTAATTGATGGACAATTGATGACCACCAAAGATTAGTGTGTAGTATGATTTACAGCACCGTTTCTTGTGCTGCAAGGACATAGTAGTCATAAATCATTTGCACAGGTGCCAGTTTGGAATTGCACCAGATCGACCTATGAGAGTACTTGAAGAGATTCGAAATTGTCATAAGTACATTTCTCATTATATCTATCGGAACCTGTTTCCTCGACCAAGAGTATTGTTAAGTTTTCTTGTTTGAGTACTAGTCTCTTTGATGTTGCCTAACGTCTGCCGTAACTAGGGATCATAACGGGAACACTCGGGAGATTAGGTCCCCTTAGTAAGAGAAACTTACAGTACAAGACTAGGAATGTCCCCCTATTAACAATAGGGAACATGTTTTTGTTGTTTATAAGGCCGCTCGAAGAGCGAGACTGTGAAATTGCATGGTCGTGCTCAGATGGATTTTAGAAATCATCTTCTTATTGACAGTCGAACTCGGAGATCGAGAAACACTTCTGAACATAATAAGGATGACGATGAACCTTACCTTATAGTTCACGAAGAGACATTAATCGTCATAGGAAATGGGCTATACACTGTACGCATACTTGTCCGGAAGGAAAAGTGGAGATTGAAAGGAATGGTGTCCTTCCAACAAGTGTATTATTCTGATAGAGGGTTCAGAATTATTACAGAGCTATTTTTTCAGTAAGGTCAAGTGATCGGAATGCCTAGGTGGAGGCCGCTTCCGATCAGTAATATTAAGGTATAATTAATATTACAGCTTAATCTTAACTGAACCCTTCGAGTCGAACCTAATCGAACAACCGATCCGAGACGACGAATTAATCCAAATGATTCAATGAGTCGTTAGAGTTTTACGAACACAGACGTGGGATATCGAGCCTAGGGCATCGAGACCAAGCGTCGCAAAATCACAAGCAACAAGTGCGAGCATAACCGTAGCATCACATTAGCCTAGCCATGTGAGTGCTAGGCTAGGCTAGTTCATCGCAAGCCTAGGCGCGCCATGTGTGTGCTAAGCGCACCATGAGTGCTAGGCGAACAAGGCAGCCCATCGCACAAGCACAACACCATCGCACTGCTAGGCACTTGCCTATGTGTGCGTATGTGTGTGCCTAGGTGGTATCGCAGCCAATCGCACAAGCATAGCACCATCGCAGTGCTAGGCACTTGCGTGTGTGTGCGTGTGTGTATGCCTAGGGCTATCGCACCATCGCAGCACACAGCACAACACTATCGCATGTTTAGGCCTGTGCGTGTGTGCGTGTGCATGCATGGCATCGCAGCGACTAGCGTGCTGGCAGCCTCGCACACCAGCACCATGCAAGGCATCGCCCAGTGCGTGTGCGTGTGCGTTGGCTAGGCAGCAGCAACACCAGCCTCGCCCAGCGCCTAGCATCATGCGTGGCTCGCTAGCAGCACGCATGTGCTAAGCGTGCTGGCTGGTGCGTGTTGCGTGCTTGGCAGTGATGCGGTGTAGGCTAGTTGTACTGGCTTGTGCATGCTAGCATGCTAGCTGGCTGCTAGCCCAGCAGTCCTTGCTTGGTGCCAGTTTTGTGAATGGTGGGGACCAATGCTTGGAGCATGCCTTGGGGAGCAAGGCAATGGTCCCCCCATGGTCATGGTTCTCACCTAACTCTCTCTCTCCCCTTGAAACTTATTGCATGGTGATTTATTTGATTAATTATTTAATTTAGAATTAAATAAATTATCACATTTACCCACTCTCCCATATTGGTGGAAGATTGAAATTCAAGGGTACATTTCCCTATAAATACCAAGGCTTTGGCATTTGGGAAAGAACACACTTGAGTGGAGCTATAAAGGCATCTCCGTTGTTGAGAATACCTTAAGTTCGTAAAACTCCAAAGTTTATATTTTGTTCAGGTCCCGACTAACCTTCGGGACTTAGGACGATCGGGTCGGGTTCGAGGGTACGAACCGTCGGAGGCCTTGCATTGCAAGGTTCAAGTAAGAGCTCTTTTAACGAGCGAAGAACGCATCAAGGGTATAATTCTTAATCCCTCTTTCTCTTAATTATGTATTAATTATGTTAGCATGCTTTAATTTCTTTAGTTATCAGGGCAGGTCTTGGGGGGTTTATTTCCATGTAGTGAGGGTCACTACGAAACCCTACAAAAACAGCTTCAGCACCATGAACCATGAGAAATGGGGTTTCGCCAGTTTCCCCTTTTTTAGTTATTTTGATGGCCCATAGGACATGAGGCAACTCTTCCGCCCATAGACCGCCAGTCCTTTCAATCTTCTTTTTAATGTCGTCTGAGATTATCTTGTTCAAGGCTTCAACCTAGCCGTTTGCTTGAGGGCGGCCGACTGATGCAAAGCAATGAGAGATCCTTTGGTCTCCCAACCAATTTTTGAGGGCAAGCGTCTCAATCTGAGGGCCATTGTCAAAGACCATAGACATAGGCCCCCTTAACCGGGTGATAATATTTCTCCAGATGAAGGAGATGACATCATTTGTCTTAATGCCACTTCTAGAAAACAACTGGTTTACGAGGGAAATATTCCGTCGGTAACCCTTAAAAATCCGTCGGAAAGTCCAGTTTCCGACAGAAATCCGTCGGAACACGGTGTCGGAGACCCCTTTGTAGGAAATTTGGGTTATACCGAGGGATTTTCCGTCGGAAACTTACTTACCGACGGATTTTAGTTTCTCGGAACCATAGTTTGACCATAAGTGGAGGTCCGTCGCAACCTTCCGACGGAATAAAATCCCTCGGAATATTCCCCTGTTCCGACGGAAATTTCCGTCGCAAGGCCCCACCTTTCCGAGGGAATTTTCCGTCGGAAGAGGGGAATGTTACGAGGGATTTATTCCGTCGGAAGGTCCCCTTTTCCGAGGGATTATAATTTCGTCGAAAGATCCCCTTCACCGAGGGATTAATATTCCGTCGGAAGGTCCCCCTTTCCGAGGGATTATAATTCCGTCGGAAGGTCTCCTTTTCCGAGGGATTATAATTCCGTTGGAACTTTTCTTCTTTGCGACGGAATAAATTTCTATTTTGGCTATATATTTTCCTCCGGGACAAACCTGTAATTCCTGCTTCTTATATTATATTATACACTGAATTATAACCCTGGCCAGCTCCACCAAAACCCGGGTCGTCGTCCCTGGGATCTCGAAATGGAGGTCGCACGTTGGAACATGGGTCATTGGCGTAACGACCCATCATCCTTTCTTCCAGCCTCTTCTCCATTTCTTCCATTTGGGCTTGTAGTTGGGCTTGAACTTGGGCTTGAACTCGGGCTTCCATGTCGGCTTCCATTTGTTCCCGAAGAGCCTGGACCCTGGATTCCATCTAATCCTGCATCTGAGAAACCAAGGAGGGCGTGTACCGCATAGAAGAGGTGGAAAGTCGGCGAACTATCTGGCTGCCATAGTACATGTCAGCACTTTCGCCTAGTCCCTTCACACGTCCTTTTTTGTTCAAACCACCCACTGTCTCCCAGTACAGATCATTCGGACTCTTCTGAGTCCTTTGAGTGATGGCCGCCTCAAGCCTCTTTTGGTATGACTCCTACAAGATAAACATATGAAAGGGAACAAACGAGGTAGTAAGTTATACAAATAAGCTAAACCAAATTGAGCCAACTATAGCCTATATGACCTATTCTTTGCCCATTTTCTATGTTTTTGACCAAATGAACAATTTCTTTCTCTAAACATGCATATTTTAGGTATTGTAAGGGTTAAAGGCCTTGAAATAAAAAAAAAACTACAAGTCCCTAAGGTTTGGGACGCATTTTGAGTCAAATGGAGCCAACTATGGCCTATATGACCTATTCTTTGCCCATTTTCTATGTTTTTGACGAAATGAACTATTTTTTTCTCTAAACATCTCTATTACAGGTAGTCTAAGGGGTAAATGCCTTGAAATGCCAAAAAAATACAACTCCCTATGGTTTGGGACGCATTTTGAAGCCAAATTGAGCCAACTATGGCCTATATGACCTATTATTTGCCCATTTTCTAAGTTTTTGACCAAATGAACTATTTTTTTCTCTAAACATCTCTATTACAGGTAGTCTAAGGAATACATCCCTTGAAATGCCAAAAAAATACAACTCCCTAAGGTTTGGGACGCATTTTGGAGCCAAATTGAGCCAACTATGGCCTATATGACCCATTATTTGCCCATTTTCTATGTTTTTGACCAAATGAACTATTTTTTATCTAAAAATCTCTATTATAGGTAGTCTAAGGGGTACATGCCTTGAAATTCCGAAAAAAATACAACTCCCTAAGGTTTGGGACGCATTTTGGAGCCAAAATGAACCACCTAAGGCATGTATGAACTATTCTTTGCCAATTTTCTATGTTTTTTACTAAATGAACTATTTTTTTTATCTAAACATCTATATAACAGTTATTCTAAGGGTTACATGCCTTGAAATGCCACAAAAATACAACTCCCTAAGGTTTGGGACGCATTTTGGAGCCAAATTAAGCCAACTATGGCCTATATGACCTATTATTTGCCCATTTTCTATGTTTTTGACCAAATGAACTATTTTTTTCTCTAAACATCTCTATTACAGGTATTCTATGGGGTAAGTTCTTTGAAATGCCAAAACAATACAACTCCCTAAGGTTTGGGACGCTTTTTGGAGCCAAATTGAGCCAACTAAGGCCTGTATTACTTATTCTTTGCCAATTTTCTATGTTTTTGACCAAATGAACTATTTTTTCTCTAAAAATCTCTATTACAGGTATTCTAAGGGGTAAATGCTTTGAAATGCGAAAAAATACAACTTCCTAAGGTTTGGGACGCATTTTGGAGCCAAATTGAGCCAACTTTGGCCTATATGACCTATTATTTGCCCATTTTCTACGTTTTTGACCAAATGAACTATTTTTCTTCTCTAAACATATCTATTACGGGTAGTCTAAGGGGTACATGCCTTGAAATTCCAAAAAAATACAACTCCCTAAGGTTTGGGACGCATTTTGGAGCCAAAATGAACCAACTAAGGCCTGTATGACCTAGTCTTTGCCAATTTTCTATGTTTTTGACCAAATGAACTATTTTTTTCGCTAAACATCTCTATTACAGGTAGTGTAACGGGTAAATTCCTTGAAATGCAAAAAAAAAATACAACTCCCTAAGGTTTAGGACGCATTTTTGAGCCAAATTGAGCCAACTATGGCCAAATGACCTATTATTTGCCAATTTTCTAAGGTTTTTACCAAATGAACTATTTTTTTCTATAAACATATCTATTACAGGTAGTCTAAGGGGTACATGCCTGGGAATTCCAAAAAAATACAACTCCCTAAGGTTTGGGACGCATTTTGGAACCAAATTAAGCCAACTATGGCCTATATGAACTATTATTTGCGCATTTTGTAAATTTTTGACCAAATGAACTATTATTTTCTCTAAAAATCTCTATTCCAGGTAGTCTAAGGGGTACATGCCTTGAAATGCCAATAAAATACAACTCCGTAAGGTTTGGGACGCATTTTGGAGCTAAATTGAGCCAATTATGGCCTATATGACCTATTATTTGCCCATTTTCTACGTTTTTGACCAAATGAAATATTTTTTCTCTAAACATCTCTATTACAGGTAGTCTAAGGGGTACAATGCTTGAAATTCAAAAAAAATACAACTCCCTAAGGTTTGGGACGCATTTTGGAGCCAAAATGAACCAACTAAGGCCTGTATGACCTATTCTTTGCCAATTTTCTATGTTTTTACCAAATGAACTATTTTTTTCTCTAAACATCTCTATTACAGGTAGTCTAAGGGGTACATGCCTTGAAATGCCAAAAAAATACAATTCCCTAATGTTTGGGAGGCATTTTGGAGCCAAATTGAGGCAACTATGGCCTATATGACCTATTATTAGTTCATTTTCTATGTTTTTGACCAAATGAACTATTTTTTTCTCTAAAAATCTCTATAACAGGTATTCTAAAGCGTACATGCCTTGAAATTCCAAAAACAAATACAACTCCCTAAGGTTTGGGACGTTTTTTGGAGCCAAATTGAGCCAACTAAGGCCTGTATGACCTATTCTTTGCCAATTTTCTATGTTTTTGACCAAATGAACTATTTTTTCTCTAAAAATCTCTATTACAGGTATTCTAAGGGCTGCATGCCTTGAAATTTCAAAAAAAATACAACTTCCTAAGGTTTGGGACGCATTTTGAAGCCAAATTAAGCCAACTGTGGCCTATATGACCTATTATTTGCCCATTTTCTACGTTTTTTGACCAAATGAACTCTTTTTTTACTCTAAACATCTCTTTTACGGGTTTTCTAAGGGGTACATGCTTTGAAATGCCAAAAAATTACAACTCCCTAAGGTTTGGGACGCATTTTGGAGCCAAAATGAACCAACTAAGGCCTATATGACCTATTCTTTGCCAATTTTCTATGATTTTGACCAAATGAACTATTTTTTTCTCTAAACATCTCTATTACAGGTACTCTAAGGTGTACATGCACTGAAATGACATAAAAATACAACTCCCTAAGGTTTGGGACGCATTTTGGAACCAAATTGAGCCAACTTTGGCCTATATGACCTATTATTTGCCCATTTTCTACGTTTTTGTCCCAATGAACTATTTTTTCCCTAAACATCTTTATTACAGGTAGTCTAAGGGTTAAATGCCTTGAAATTCCAAAAAAATACAACTCCCTAAGATTTGGGACGCATTTTGGAGCCAAAATGAACCAACTAAGGCTTGTATGTTCTATTCTTTGCCAATTTTCTATGTTTTTTACCAAATGAACTATTTTTTTCTCTAAAAATCTCTATTACAGGTAGCCTAAGGGTTAAATGCCTAAAATGCCAATAAAATACAACTCCGTAAGGTTTGGGACGCATTTTGGAGCCAAATTGAGCCAAATGTGGCCTATATGACCTATTATTTGCCCATTTTCTACGTTTTTGACCAAATGAACTATTTTTTCTCTAAATATATCTATTACAGGTAGTCTAAGGGGTATAATGCTTGAAATTCCAAAAAAATACAACTCCCTAAGGTTTGGGACGCATTTTGGAGCCAAAATGAACCAACTAAGGCCTGTATGACCTATTCTTTGCCAATTTTCTATGTTTTTACCAAATGTAATATTTTTTTCTCTAAAAATATCTATTACAGGTATTCTAAGGGGTAAATTCCTTGAAATGCCAAAAAAATACAATTCCCTAAGGTTTGGGACGCATTTTGAAGCCAAATTGAGCCAACTGTGGCCTATATGACCTATTATTTGTCCATTTTCTACGTTTTTTGACCAAATGAACTATTTATTTCTCATAAAATATCTATTATAATTATTCTAAGGGGTTCATGACTTTAAATCACAAAAAAATACAAGTCCCTACGTTTTGGGACGCATTTTAGAGCGAAATTGAACTAACTATAACGTATATTACCTATGATTTACCCATTTACTACGTTTTCGACCAAATGACCTATTTATTTCTCATAACATGTCTATTATAAGTATTATAAGGGGTTCATGACTTGAAATCACAAAAAAGTACAAGTCCCGACGTTTTGGGACGCATTTGGAGCGAAATTGAACCAACTATGACGTATATGACCTATTATTTACCCATTTACTACGTTTTCGATCAAATGACCTTTTTTTTTCTCATAACATGTCTGTTATAGGTATTATAAGGGGTTCATGACTTGAAATCACAAAAAACTACAAGTCCCTACGTTTTGGGACGCATTTGGAGCGAAATTGAACCAACTATGAAGTGTATGACCTATTATTTGCCCATTTACTATGTTTTGGACCAAATGACCTATTTCTTTCTCATAACATGTCTATGTTAGGTATTCTAAGGGTTCTATGACTTGAAATCACAAAAAACTACAAGTCCCTACGTTTGGGGACGCATTAGGAGCGAAATTGAACCAACTATGACGTATATGACCTATTATTTACCCATTTACTACGTTTTCGACCAAATGACCTATTTCTTTCTCATAACATGTCTATTATAGGTATTATAAGTGTTTCATGACTTGAAATCATAAAAAACTACAAGTCCCTACGTTTTGGGACGCATTTGGAGCGAAATTGAACCAACTATGATGTATATGACCTGTTATTTACCCATTTTCTACGTTTTCGACCAAATGACCTATTTCTTTCTCATAACATGTCTATTATAGGTATTCTAAGGGGTTCATTACTTGAAATAACAAAAAACTACAAGTCCCTACGTTTTAGGATGCATTTGGAGCGAAATTTAACCAACTATGACGTATATGACCTATTATTTACCCATTTACTACGTTTTCGACCAAATGACCTATTTCTTTCTCATAAAATGTCTACTATAGGTTTTCTAAGGGGTTCATGACTTGACATCACAAATAATAACAACTCCCTATGTTTTGGGACGCATTTGGAGCCAAATTGAACCAACTATGACGTATATGACCTATTATTTACCCATTTACTACGTTTTCTGAAAAGAATGGTGTCCTTCCAACAAGTGTATTATTCCGATAGAGGGTTCAGAATTATTACAGAGCTAATTCTTCAGTAAGGTCAAGTGATCGGAATGCCTAGGTGGAGGCCGCTTCCGATCAGTAATATCAGGGTACAATTGATATTACAGCTTAATCTTAACTGAACCCTTCGGGTCGAACCCAATCGAATCTCCGATCCGAGACGTCGAATTAATCCGAAAGGATTTTATGAGTCGACAGAGTTTTACGAATATAGACGTCGGAAATCGAGCCTAGGGCGTCGATACCGAGCGTCGCAAAATCACAAGCAACAAGTATGAGCGTAGCCATAGCTAGGCTAGGCTAGCTCATAGCATGCCTAGGTGCACCATGTGTTTGCTGGGCGCACCATGGTGTGGTAGGCACCATCGCAGCCTAGGCGCACCTTGGCAGCCCATCCCAAGCTAGCAGCATGCTAGCATGGGTGCCTAGGGGCGCATGGCAGCCATCGCTGGCCACACAGGCACCAGGCAGCCCATAGCAGCTAGCAAGCATGTTAGTGTGGTGCCTGGGTGCATGTGGCGCCTATCGCAGGCCATGGCAGCACCAGGCGCACCATCGCAAGCACTAGGTGTTGCGTGCGTGCGTGCCTGGCTTGGCAGCACCATCGCAAGCACCAAGTGCTGGCATGGTTGGCTGCCTGGCAATGGCGCGCCATGCGCGTGTGCTTGAGTGCTAGCCTTCGCATGGAAGCACCAAGCATCGCAGCATATGCGAGAGGCTGCGCGCCAGCGTGATGCCAGGCCTCGCACAAGCAGCCTCGCACCACAGGCGCATTGATGTGTGTGGGCTGGCAGTGCGTGGTGCATGGCTGGTGCATGGCGCATGGCTGATGCGAGGTATGTGCGACCAGCCAATGCGTGGGATGCGAGGGCAAGCATCAGCGATGCCCAGCAGGCACAAGCTGGGCGATGCATGGCTGCGCATGCAATGGCAAGGTAGCACCACGCATATGCGTGCGTGTGTGCGTATGCCTGCGGTAGCAAGGCACCAGCGCCAGCAATGCCCAGCAAGTGGTAGCTGGGCAATGCATGCTATGCGATAGTGGCGCTGGGAAGATTGGTGCGTGATGCCTGGTGCGCCAGCCAAGCAAGCTAGCTGGCTGTGCGTGCTAGCAGCGCCAGGTGGCAGCCATCCTAGCTGCCTTGCAAGTGGCGGTTTGAAGGGGAAGTGGGGACCAAAGCCACCAAGCTTCCCTTGGGGAGCAAGGCAATGGTCCCCCCATGGGATATGGTCCTCACCTAACCCATTCTCTCCTTTTGCCACTTGTTGGCTTGTGATTGTTTTGCATAATTATTTATTTTAGAATTAAATAAATTATTGCAATTGCACATGATCCCACAGTGATCTTGAAAAGGGGTTTCAAGTCCCCATTCTCTATAAATACCCACTTGGTTGGGATTTTGAGAATACAACCTTGAGTGGAATTAAAAAAGCAACTCTAGAAAAGAGTAAACCTTTGATTCGTAAAACTCATAGTTATTTTGTCCGGGTCTTGACTAACCTTCAAGACTTAGGACGCTCGGGTCGGGTCGAGGGTACGATCCGTCGGAGATCTCGTCTTTTCGGGATTTTGAAGTAAGAGCTCTTTGGGAGCGAAGCACGCGTCAAAGGTATAATTCTTTTCCTTAATCTTGGTTGATTAAGTTTATTATGCTTGTTTAATTGCTTTAAATAAGGGGCGGGTCTTGGTGGATTTCTTTCCGCGTAGTGTCGGGTCACTACGAAACCCTACATTTTCGACCAAATGAACTATTTCTTTATCTACACCTATTTATGAATAACGAACCAAGGAAAAAAGTTTAGGGAATTTGTTACCGCAATTTGCTGAGCTGTGGGGTTTACTGGCACTGTGCCTTTCCCAGGTAGCTCCTTGTAGTGTGTCTTCAGAAACAGCTCAGGAGCTGTTAGTAGCTAGCCATTGTTCTTCACCGCCTTTGATACAAAAACATAGGAATAATCGTTAACCATGTCAAACCCTTGTTACATTGAAATACACAAATATGTCTTGTAATATAAGATATTTTTAAATAAACTTACCATCCTTTTTGCATGTTGGGTAGCTACCAACGAACCCTGAAAGTGGGTCCCTCGGACGGGATTTTCCATAGAACCACCCCTTCTGTTCTTCTGGTTCTGCGCCGACCTGTCCTTGTAAGTTGGATCATTAGAAACAATGTCCATCATCTGCTTGTGGAGCTCCGCACTCAACCAACTTGGCCTGGAGCCTTTCATCTTGTGCGTGATGGTGTGGAACATGTCACGCAGGCGTGTGGCTACCCTCCTCCGAAATGTGATCTTCACTAGCTCGTCCATCTGAGGTGCCCATCTGTATTGTGCCTGCAAATGATAAAATACAAAAGTTATACACAAAATTAAATCAACACAATAGCTAAAACATGTATTAACCAAGACCCAAAAATATCATACGCTGAACAAGTTCCACCAGTGTTCCTTCGTAGCTAGAGGCACTTCGGAGAAGTTCCTCCAAGGGGCTCGGTAGTATCCAGTAATCGTATCGGATACCGCACTCCAAACCTTAGGATCATCAAACCTATAACAAACGGGAAACAACAATGTTAAACAAGTTCAAAATATGTAATATAAGCCTTGTATCTGATCATCCATATCATGATATTTACTTACCACAGCGTAGTAGGGTCCAAAAACGGGAGTTGTGACTCATCATGGGGCTCTTCCTCTGACTCATCCCGTGGCCCATCTTCTGCAGGAGTGGATGGCCCCGTCTGATCCTCACCCAAATCGGCTGCCTCCGCATCGAACATCTCCTCATCCTGGTCGTCGATGAACAAGGCGCAGGCGGTCTCTTTCTCTTTCCCCTTTGCTTTCTTCGACGACTGCCCACTATTTCAACCCGCCATGACTACCTGAATCAGATGTTAGTAAAATGACAAGATTTATAAATAAGGAGTGCAGTGCAACGTAATATGGCCTTTATACAAACACTAAAAAGTTTTACATAAGCCTCATTAATATTTTGATTTTACAATAAGAAGCATACGTTTAAAGGAGATAAACATTTTCTCCTATTCAGCACTCTCATCACTACTTTCACTACTAGAGTCATCACTACTATCATCTAATACTACATCAATGTCATCATCATCGTCACTATCACTAGAGCTGATACTAGATTCATTGTCTTTATCGCTTGAGATCACAAAGCCATCGTCATCGTCTTCATTATCATCATCCATAGCGTAGTCTGGAATGTCACTCGGCGGACAAAGCGTTGCATGTAATGTTGGGGATGGTGATTGCAGAAACACTAAGTCCACCGGAGCATCAACCACTGACCTTGCATGTGTTTTAAACACATACCACCATTGAACTCGGTCCCGTTTCAGGCTAGGGTATGATGCGTAGTACACTTGAGTCACTTGGTAAGATAAAACAAATGGATCATATTTGGGGTATTTCTTAGTATGATTTATTTCGATTAGCTTGTATTGTTCATGTATGTTCATTCCCCTACAACAATCCATCCAATTGCACTTAAACAAAATTTTTCTTGTACTGTCTCTTGGGTCCCGTGTAGACAAGTTCAATTATGTCGTCTAAGATGCCGAAGTACTCTCTGCCATCCTCACTTGATACACACACACCATAATTCATGGGCATGTGTATGGAAATTAAATCCACCTACAAAAATCTGGCCCTAAGTACGAACTCGCCTGAAGGGACGCATGCACAACGCTCGCTAGACATCCGAATTTGGCTTCTCTTCGACCACCTATAAAGTGGTTGAATATCTGCATCAAGGTTCCTGAATTCATTGAATTGAAATGTAACATGTAAAATTCATTATTATTTCACGGTTACACCACGTATATCACCTTGTGATGAAACCAATCAGAAAATTCAGTTTCGAAATTCACCATGACATCTTCTCTACGCAGGAAAGGTCGAGTACTAAGAATGTAGTCCTCAAACTTCCTACGAGGCCAAACACACAATGTAAATCTACAAAGTCATCATTGTAAATGATCGTAAATACGAATACACTAAATACTTGGGCCTAATATACCTTTCGTATTCGCCAAGAATGGCAGTGTTTCGTAACACGAACAAATGTGCGCACTCGAGTTCTTTGTCATCTAAGAACCGAGTTCTACCCTCATTTGACACACGACCACTGTCCTCTTTGAGCAACTCTGGTATTTCAGCGTCGTCCGATGTGGACTCAACGTCGGCATTCACATTTCGACCAAGATCTCGAGTTTTAATGTCAACTGTCGACTGAAACTAATTGGAGCAGAAGTTTGCTATCTCTTCAGTGAGATAAGCATTGCATATGGACCCTTCAACTCGAGCCTTGTTCCCAATTTTCGGTTTCAAATGATTGAGGAACCTGCAATTACAGTTGTTATGTAACTATATGAACAATTGATTAGGATGTAAAATAAAGGATGTGAAATAAGGGTATTTGATTTACCTTTCGAAGGGATACATCCACCTGTATTGTACAGGACCACATAACTTCCCCTCGTACGGCAAATGTGTAGGCAAATGCTGCATGGAGTTAAAGAATGCAGGAGGGAAGATCTTCTCAAGCTTGCAGAGGATCTCAGGTATGTTTTTCTCCAATCGCTCCATGTCACTAACTGATGTTATATAGAAACACAAGTCGCGGAAGAATTGGCTGATCTCTGTAATTGCATTCCAAATATGGCCAGGGAGCAATTCCCTCAAAGTTGTGGGCAACATCCGCTCCATGAACACGTGACAGTCATAGATTTTCATTCCATAGAGCTTACACGTTTGCAAATCTACGCATCTGCTCAAATTGGAGGCGTAACCATCAAGGAACCGCAGCTGTTTAACCCACTCACACAAAACTTTTCTCTAAGCCTTGTCAAGAGCAAATGGAGCCTTTGGAATTACCTATTTTCCTCTATCATCCTCTTGAAGATGAAGCTGGGGACGTTTACAATACTTAACAATGTCATTCCGAGCTGAAGGCGAGTCACACGTAAGCTTTTTCACATCCATTACAGTGTGAATTAACTGATTAAAGAAGTTCTTCTCGATGTGCATGACATCTAAGTTGTGACGAATGAGGAGATGCTTCCAATATGGGAGCTCCCACAAGGTGCTTTGCTTGAACCACCCCTTCTTTTCATTTTTCAGCCTTTTAATTTAATCGGGTCCATCTGTAGCCTTTGGAAGGTCCTTAACACATTCCCACAGCTCCTCTCCTGACATGATGTGTGGAGGGGCTCCTTTCTCTACTTTGTTTTTACAGAATGCTGTTTTATTGTTCCAAAAAGGGTGATCTGTCAGCAGGAATTGTCGGTGGCAATCAAACCAAGAAACTTTACCACCATGTTCAAGCCAAAATGCTTTGGTCTTCTCCATGCAATGTGGACAAGCTTTCTTACCAGCCGTGGCCCAACCAGACAACATGCCATAAGCCGGGAAGTCACTAACGGTCCATAGAATGGCTGCTCGAAAATTGAAATTTTGTTTCTTCGAAATATCATAAGTAGCCACGCCGACTTCCCACAACAGTTTCAACTCCTCTATCAACGGTTGCATGTAAACATCCAAATTGCCCTTAGGGTTTTTAGGACCAGGAACGAGTAAAGAAAGGAACATGAATTGTCTTTTCATGCACATTGAAGGAGGCAAGTTATAAGGGGTCAAAATGACAGGCCAACAAGAATATTGACCCCCAAACTTACCATGAGGAGCAAAACCATCTGTACACAAGCCAAGTCTCACATTACGAGGCTCAGAAGCAAACTCTGGAAACCGACAATCGAGGTGCTTCCAAGCTGCGCTGTCACTAGGGTGTGCCATTGTGCCTTGAACTCTGGGATTTTTCGAATGCCATGTCATTTCCTCCGAAACGTTCTTCGTTGCAAACAGTCTTTGCAACCTGGGTGTGATCGGGAAATAAAATAGAACATTCAAAGGCACTAGGCTACCTTTGGAAGTCTGCTTGTATCGGTCGCTGCCACACACCCTGCATTCAAACAACTGAGCATCATCCTTCAAAAACAACATACACCCTTTCGGGCACGCATGAATCTTTTGATGGGACAGTTCCAACCCCTTCACAATCTTCTTCACCTCGTAACGTAGAAAGTATCGGCCATATGATTGTTGTTCGGAATCGCCTCGCTTAGCAAAGAAGCAAACCCATCAACACATCTGTGAGGCAAATTATACTCACATTTGAGACTAGTGATTCTAGCGGCCATCACTAACACAGACAAAGAACTCCCTTCGTATAATGGCCTTTCAAAAGCCTTCAACAAATCCAGAAAATGCTTAGCAGTTGCATTAGGCTCCTCCTTTGATGAAACACTAGCCTCCTCGGAGTGCCCCTGATCTTGACTATGACCAAAAGCATCAAAAACCATGTCATGATATTCATTGGACCGCCGTTCGGGAACTCCCGGATACCCCTCCCCTTGACACATCCATACATAGTAGTTAGGTACGAAACCCTTGTCATACAGATGAATTTTAACCGTATCCGCATTCCAAAGGCGTTTGTTCTTACATTTAACACATGGACACCTAACCTCATCCGGATTACTACTCTCGGGATGATCTCTGACGTACTGAATGAATTCATCAACTCCTTTCACAAAATCTGGATTAATACTTTGCCAATCGTCCTTTTATACATCCAGCTACGTTATCTTCGTTTCATGATTACAACTTCTACACAGCTCACGCATATGTACAATTACATTAGTCATGAACGGTATTTCGCAGTCATTATCCACCACAGCGTTATGGAAATGCAAATGAGATTTGAAATGCTTCCAAAGGGTCCTTATCACTCCAACCTAACCCATCCTTGTAAGTTTATTCTCACTAGTGAATGTAACCCAGGTTTTCAATTCTATGGAAAATCCGCCAGCATTTCCCTACAGTTCTCCAAGTACACAATGTAGGCGATTATACACACCTACATATGTACCCAGAGAACACGGTAGAGAAGTGCATGAAAAGGCAGGATTTTCCCTAAAATAAAAAACAAGGCTTACATTCACCACCTAAGTGAGAATAAGCGTACAAGGACAGTCCCAACCGGGGACTATTCAAGACATACTCCTAATGTGTATGCCTTGAACGGGTATCTAGGCATATGATTATGCAAATGATTCATTTATTATAATATATATATATATATATATATATATATATATATATATATATATATATATAAACTAACTTGCATTACATTAAACTAACAA